TAAACAATCATGTTTTGGTAAAACATCTAATTAGTGTAATAATAATTATTAAACATAAACTAAAGTTTTATCAGCTAGATTTTATGTAACATAAATATATATATAAGAATTGATTAATATTCAAATTGAATAGTATTATGAATATCCTTATGGACTTAGAAATTAAAATCTCTTACTTAAATTTATTAGTCTGATTGCAGAACCACTCAGTTAAATTTGAATTTATTATAAGAGATTTTAAAATGTATATAAATGAATTTTTAAAATTAATGTTTGATTATTTGAAAAAGATTTTATCATATCTAAGAGGAAAATATTCTGAAATGTTAAAAAAAATGAAATTACAATTCAGCAAAAAAATTTTAGAATATCTATAATTAATAAAATTTATTTTCTAACGAGTATCATATAACAAGTTTATAAAGTACAACAATCTGATTTCCTTGTTGATTTTTTGTTCAACTTCACAATTCAATGTATATGTTCTAGAAATAAAAGATGGAATTTTTTGTAAATTTATTCTTTCATTACTCATGGTATTAATTTAATGGACAATTCATAATCATTAACTTTTATTTTGATGGGAATTATGCAGTCAAAAATTAATAAAATAAGCATCTTAAAAGACAATTGCTTGACTTCTTAGATGTCAATTAATAGTTTTTCGGTATTACAAAAGATTTAACAAATAAAAAAAAACATTAAAATTAAGTTATAAATAAGCAGGCATAATGCAGATCTTTTAGTTTTAATTTATAATAATAGATAGCGCCACTAATAAATCTTAAATTTAAAATTTTGTAATTTAATTTTAGTAATCCACAAGAAATAAATAAAATATTAATTTAATTCTATGAGCATTAATTTAATTAAATAAATATCAAGTGAAAATTATTCAGTTTTCATTTTATAGCGAATGTAAGAATTAAACAAGGCAATTAAACTCCATTTTCAATGTTATTCAATAAATCAGAGGGATATTAGCTTCATAAGAATTCATGCATGTAATAATCATAAATTCAAAGAAAAGAGCAGTTCTCCCATAAAAATTAAATACAAAATTTTTCTTAAAATAACAAAACTAGTTACTTACCTACAAACAAATCTGTGTCCATGAGGTTTGGAAATTCTAGAATTCCATTTCGTATTGGTAAGTTCCCCAAATTCCATTACCCACTTGTTGCAATCGTCTAAATTTAGAACATTGCTTCTAAGGGTAATGGTATTTGAGGAAAT